AACATGGTAAGCTTGACAGTTAGATCGCGGAGTGTAAGATTCTTGTCCATGGGTAGTTGTGTTTGAGGTACTCGAGAACAATGTTAACATCCCAGATTGTATTATATCTTGGCACACTTGGCCGCTCTACAAATACGCCTCGAAGAAATCTACACACCAATGGATGCGATCCAAATGTTGTTTGATCTGACATGTTCATAATTGAGGAGAGTGCACTTCTAGCAGAATTAATGGCACTATATCCTACCCCTGAATCAAAGAGTTCAGCCAGGAAATTAATTCCATCTTTTACATCTGAAGAAATTGGATTAAGACTCCTTTCACCACAGTAGCTAATCCATTTCTCAATATAGCATGTGTATTGCTTTCTTGTTCCGGATTTCCATGAAGTCTGGATGATTCTTCCAGCTGTTTCCGAAAATCCCTGCTCTTTAAGCTGTTGCCCGACAAGTGGCATAGCATGAGGCAAAGCTTGTTGTGCAGCGGATGAATTCTTCCTGGATGGCTCGGTAGGAATAAGGTTTGTTTGTGTTTTGGCAGTAAGATGGGTCTCTGAACTAACATTTCCATTGCTCTTGGCCACCACACTTGTGTTGGCTAATTTGGTATCACTAAAAGGCCTGTGGCCTGGTCCTCCTGAATCTTTTGAAGAGTTAACATAATTACACTAAATGGAGGGAAAGCATAAAATAAATGTTGGGTCCAAGTTATGGTGAATGCATCAACCGCCATAGCTTCTGGATTTGGGCGATAAGACACATAGGGTTTAAGTTGGTGATTAATTCTGGATGCAAACAGGTCAATACTTGGGGTAAAACCAAGTTTGTGGCACCCCAACTTAAATGTTGAGTTGTTTAGGCACCACTCAGTGTTCAAGTTAAAAAACCCTGGATTCTTTGTCAGCTTCCCTATTTTCCTTCCCAGGGATACGAGCCATAGAGATCCAAATATTCTGGTCTATACACCAAAGCCAAATTTCTTTGGCCAAGGCATTTAGTTTGGTCCCGTGACTAGTACCCATTTGTCTTAATACACATTCTGTGGTAGTATTATCCACCATAATCAAAACATGTTTGTCACATAAAGAGGATCTGAATGATTTTAGGGACAGAAAAACAGCTAACATTTCTAAGTAATTAATATGTTCTGCTGCTTCTGTAGCAGACCAGAGCCCCCCAGTGGAATGATTGTGCAACACACCACCCCAACCTGTCTTAGATGCATCTGTTGTGAGTGTGGTTTCAGGTCTTTCCCTTTTCACAGGGTTGAAAGATGTTTCAATATTATTAACCCACCACTTAAGTTCTTCCCTAGCTTGGGTTGAACAAGACATTGGTTTATCAAATTGCCCTCTTTTTAGTTGTAGGGCTGTATTTTTGTCAGCCTCAAGCAATCGATAATATAATGGGCCCAAGGCAACCCCTGGGAAGCTAGAGATTAAAGTACCGATAACTCTAGCAACCTGTCTGATAGTGGGTTGCGAGTTTCGTAGCAGCTCCTCACATGCATGCTTGAGTTTTAGGGTTTTCTCTGTAGTGAGTCGAACTTGCATAGTCTTAGAATTCAGACTAAATCCCAGGAAAACCAGTTCCTGTGTTGGAATAAATACAGACTTATCAGGGTGGGCTACTAATCCCAATTCATCAAGCAGCCGGGCTGTGTCAATTACATTGGAGGCACAGTCCTCATATGAATGACCCATTAAAAAAGAGTCATCAATATATGGAGATGATTGGTGCCCCTTTTGCCATAGCATGGCAAAAACAGGCTTCATCAGTTTTGTAAACTTGCAAGGACAACAGGCTAACCCATTTGGAAAGCATGTAAACTGGTAAAGGGTACTATCCCATACAAATTTCAAGTACTTCTGATCTTCATTGGCAATAGGTACTGAGTAGTAGGCATCCTTCAAATCAATGGATGCCATGAAGCAATTAGGTGTCATTAGCCTAATGGCAGTCCAAATTGTGTCCATTTTAAAATGGTGATATACCACATAAGAATTCAGGTTTTTTAAGATTCAAGATCATTCTAAATGAGCCATCTTTTTTCTCAGCTACAAAAATAGGGGAGATAAATTCTCCTTGCTCATGTTTTGAGGGCTTTATGACCCCTTTTGCTAGCAACTTTATTATCTCTGCATGGATAATAATTTCCTCTTCAGGAATGAAACCGTTTTTCCCACTTTGTCTCAACTGTTGTGGTTCAGTGCTAAATTCAATTTTTAGCTAACCCTGAACTATCTTCAGCACCTCTGAGTCAGAGCTAAGTGCTTGCCACTGATCAAATTTACTTGAAATTTGACCCCCCCAAAAGGTATTAACTCTCTGAGTAAAAAATTTTTTAATATTAGCTTCATTAAGTGCTAGGTTACTAACCTGTAAACGGCCTAATAAATTTAACTTGTTGCTATAAACCATTACTGGTTTTTCCTTTGTGACTTCCACTGGGTTGCTTTCTTTGGAGGGGGTTTCCGTTGTTGGGAGCCCCTGAACAAAAAATTATTTCGGTTGTTATGCCTTTGTGCCCTACCTTGGGATGTCGTACTTTTCCGTGAGGCACGGCGTTCATCCCCAATAGCATTGCTAACTCTATTTGTAGCTCTGATACTCCTTAACTGAGCCTGAAGGTCGTCCCCAAAAAGAAACCCAGTAATGGGGACATGCGAGGCACATAGTGTCGCATATTCTTTGTTCAAGTGAGGCTTGAGTATTTCGCGTCGCCGTTGTGATAGATCACAGGAAGCGTGCCCCAACAACGCCATGGCATCAGTATTCAGCGTAATGAGGGCTTTCATTTCAGGGCTGGAAGAACCAGATTGTGCCATTGCCAACAATTTGTCAGTTGATTGAGCCAAAATAGCACCCACTTTGACAAGGTTTGTTTGAACCGTGCACTTCGCAGATCGATTTGTTTGGCATTGTGATCGATTCGTGCCCATATTTCCGGGTTAACACGAGGCACGATGACCCGCTCACAGTTAGCTGGGCGGGGATACTTATCCCGCTTTTCACGCAGTTTGTGATCAGCCAGCTTTTCCGACCACCGTTGGTTAATAATTTCAGCTAGCTTCTGTGATATTGCCGGGCCGGTGTCCTCTTGCTGCCAGAAATCTTGTTCAATGTCAAACAACAATGAGTCATTGCTGTCCGGTTGCTCGAGTCGAGCTGATTGATCACCTTCGGCCGAGTCGGCATTGGAAGGGTCAATAGAGTGAACAGGCGGTGATAAATCGTCGACATTATCGTCCGTCAGGTCCACAATAGATGCTTTTCTCTTCTTTGGCTGAACCGTCGCTGTTGAAGCTGGGGAATGCAGGCGTTTTAGCGATACTTCCATCGCTTGCATAGAGCCCGCTATAATTTGAAGCGATTTCGAAAGGTTGGTCATCACATTCTTTACATCATTTGTTTCATCTTGTTGCTCCTGAACTTGGTCTTCGTCGTCTTCTGCCAAAAGTTCATCTTCGTCCACAACGTTTTGACTCATTTTTACAGAAGTTACGTATGAATAAATGAATAAAAAATCAAAATATTTCCGCTTAAAAAATTTCACAGACTACTTGCTTGTAAACACGTGCAAAAACTGACTGCTTGATATGCGCGCGCATATTCATTGTGACTCCCTAGTGACGTAACCAATGACGAAATAGAATTATCTGGTGAAGAATAAGGTTCCACCAGGTGCTGTTGTTAATGGGATGAAATTTCCAGACAAACCAGCTTTCTTCGATCTGAATGAACTTGAGTGCAGACTTATAGCTCCCCGAATTGCATTTAAAAAATGAATGCAGGCTCCTAGAGGAAAACAACTAAAAATTCATGGGAATGTTGTAAATGTACCAGCTAATGTGGTTGATACAGTTAATTTATTACCTAGAACACTCAATGACACAAGTACGATTAAAATTAATCAGAAAAGAAAATTACAGTACAGGAGTTCAGCAATGGCACTAAATGTAAGACCAAGCAAAGTTATTGAAGCTACATTATGGATAATAAGGAACAGTTAATTATATAGAGATAAAGGTGTGACATTTGATGAAGGTTGGTTGGCCAATTTCCAACATGAGCTGTTACAACAGATGTTACAACTTGTACTACCACTGTTGTAAATAACACAGAAATGTTTGAAACAAATGACAAAGAAGATTACAGTGATGACTGTAACAATGATGAATGTGCTGAAGATGAGGTTTCCTCACCTCCTGATGTTTCAGATACAATGCTAACACCCACTGACTTTTTGCACCAGCTAAAGGAAACAAACCATGAAGTATATTTCAAGATTAATAATATACATTAAAAAATTTCTCAATTCTGATTGGTTTAGAGCAGTGCAATTTTTAGGAAATCTCGGTGCCAAAAAAAGGAAATCCCAGTGCCAAAAAAAGGAAATCCCAGTGCTAATTTCTTTAAAACCCTTTTAAAAGTGCTTCTGATTGGTTAGTCAAGCGATGATGTAAGTCATAAAAGCCAATCAAATAAGATATTTCACAAGCGGTGAAATTAAATTATTCTCACGAAAAGCAATAATAACAATGGCTGGCGTTTTAAGTAGATTTTCTTTGGCGACCGAGTCTACAATTCAGCATTTGCAGGACAATTCTAGAAATGCAAATACTGCCAAAAGTACCTTGTTTTGGCTACGAGTGTGGAAGCAATGGTGTTGTGAAAAAAAAAAATCTGACGAAATTGAAAAATATCAGCCGGTCGATTTAAGTAACTTGTTGAAGTGTTTTTATGCTGAAGTTAAAAATCAACAGGGTGCAGATTACGAACCAGACAGCCTCAAAGTAATGATAACTTCCCTTGACAGACATCTCAGAGAAAGGGGATATACTTTTCCATAATACGAGATAGAGAATTCACGACTTCCAAACAAGTTTTAGAGGGAAAAGCTAAGTTGCTTCGAGAAAGTGGTCGAGGGAAGAGACCAAATAAAGCATGACAGCTATCGCAAGAGGAAGAAGAAAAACACCAGAGGCACTCGTGCAAACAATGTGGTGGTTACTTACTCAGCACTTTGGTCTTCGGAGCAGGCAAGAGCATCACCAAATGAAAATGGACGACTTCAGCATTGTCGAAGCGGACAATGGCGTTGCGTACATACAATACAAAGAAGGGCCAACGAAGACCAGACAAGGCGGTTTGAATTACAAGGCGGTTTGAATTACAAGGCTGTTTGAATTGCAAGCCTCGAAATTTCCAACCACGAATGTTTCAAACAGAAGGAGAAAGATGCCCAGTTGCTTTATTTCGGGAGTACGTAAGCCGAAGCCCTTTAAGTTTGCAGCAAACCGGCCCATTTTATCTCTCAGTGAAAACTAGCAGACGACCTGACGACCACATTTGGTACAAAGTTCAGCCGATGGGAGTAAACAAGATCGATTCAATGATGAAAAATATTGTATTTGGCACGAGTTTGGAATGTAGTGGTAAAAAATTTTCAAACCACAGCGCCCGTAAAACAGTGGTTGGGAAGCTGAAAAAGGCAAACCTTGAAAGGTCCGACATTGCAAAGGTTACTGGCCACAGAAATATACAATCACTGGATGACTACGACGAAGCTGACGAGCAGGAGCAACAAAATCTTTCCTTGGCAATTTCAAGAAGGAATTATACACCAGAAGAGTAACCACGAAGCTCATCCATAGCCAACATCGTCGTTCGGACTCGTGCAATTTGAAGTCTTAAAAAAACCCACTCGTGCATGAATTGCACTCGAAACTATGCTATTACCTATACAAATATTCTGAAGAATTGGCATACCCTGGGATATTTATTGGTCAAAAAAGACTTGACAATGAGCAACATAAGGTAAATGTTTACTATAGTGACATTTGTAAATCAGAATTGAGAAGATCAGATAGAAGAGCAGCGATGTGTATTGAAAATATACTTTTCAAATGCCAGAAGTTACAAATGAAAATTATTTTGAGTAAGGCTCAAATTGCTTTAAGAAAATGCAAAGGCAATGAGAGAACATTAAATGCAGGAAATTTAAAACAGCAAGGAGCATTGGACAAGCGATTACATTACGATGAAGGATTCAAATTTTTAAGGGCACTATGAGGTTTACCACCATACTTTGAAAAGGCCAAAAAAGACCTCTTTGCAATGATAAGGCAATTAGGTCCTGCTTCATTGTTCTGCAGTTTTTCATCTGCAGAAACTCAATGGACACATCTATTAAAAATACTTGGAAATCTTGTTGATAACAAGAATTACACAAATGAAGAAATCAATAACTTCAATTGGGAAGAAAGATACTGTTTAATACAAAGTGACCCTGTAACTTGTTCTCGGCATTTTGATTATCAAGTCAGTCAATTTTTGAGAAAGTTTCTCATGAGCCATGTTCAACCATTAGGAAAAATAAGTGACTGGTTTTATAGAGTTGAATACCAGCAATACCAGCAGGCATTCTCATACATGTCGCAAGAATAGACAGACAAACTGTAGATTTAACTACCCACAACCTCCAATGATGAGGACTACAAGGATACTCTATCCATTAGATGAAAACATAAATACTGATGAAGTTAAATAATTAAAGCTTGCCTGGAAATCAATTAAGACATATTTAGATGCTGCGAAAGAAGGTTTTTGACATCACCTTTAATGAGCTATTGCGAGAAATTGATGTAACAGAAGAAAAGTATTTGTTAGCTGTGCAATTTTCAATTAATACAGCAACAATATTTTTCAAAAGAGCACCAAATGAACTAAGAGTAAACAATTACAATCCTGGTTGCCTTTTAGCCTGGAGAGCAAATATGGACATTCAGTTTGTTTTGGATGTTTATGCATGTGCTGTATACATTGTTAATTATATTTCCAAAGGACAAAAAGGCATGAGTGACCTTTTACGACAAGCTTGCAATGAGGCACGGATGGGAAATTCATCTATTAAACAACAAGTTAGAGACATTGGTAGTAAATTTATCAACAATGTTGAAATCAGTGCACAAGAGGCAGTTTACATTGTCTTACAATTGCCAATGCAAAAAGCATCAAGAGAAATTATATTTGTACATACCTCTCCCTCTGAACAGAGAGTACAATTATTAAAGCCATTAGATGAAATACAACACTTGGAAGAGGAGTGTGAAGAAATTTATGAGGGTGGATTGATAAAAAGATATACAAAACGATCAAAGCAATTGGAAAGTATTACTTTAGCAGACTTTGCAGCATGGTATGATGTAAGTTCTCCATATGTTAAACAAACAAATGTTTTAGACACAGATGATCTTCTCACAGAAACTTCATGTAATGATGATAAACACAATGATGATGACAAAAAGAGTAATGTTAATATTTCTTCAAAATCACCAAAAAAAGAGAACCAAGGCTAGAATTATTCGAAGTTGTTGGTTCAATAACGATGCTGAACCAGAGAAATATTGTTGGGAATTGATAATGCTCTTCACATCATGGAGAAAGGAAGAAACAGATTTAACTGGTTCTTGCTCTTCTTACCAAGAACGATATAGTGAAATTAAGACTAAAATGAAAGAATATGCTGTCTGTGAACAAAACTTCAATGAATTTGAACAACAAATGCATATGGAAAGGGATGCCTTTGACACCATTGCGCCTTGTACTGAAAGTACAGAACAACAAGATGAAGCTGAAGGTAATACAGATTTACAACCAGATTTTAATGAAAGCTATTATCTGTCTGATGACCTTGGTATTCAATCAACTAATATGAACACTGAACCACTAGTTTTCAATGAGTTGCCAGATAATGGTTATCATCATTTGGTACAAATGTTGAACAGAAAGAGTTCTGTTATCATGTACTGCATCACATAAAGACTTCTGATGAACCTATTTATAGTTTTCCTTACAAAAAGTCACCTTACAAAAGCATTGTATCAAGCAGCTATAAAGTACTATAATTCGGTCCTACTAAAAACCGCCCAAGACCGCCCGAGAGTATAGAAAAACCGCCCGAGGCCGCCCGAGAGTATAGAAAAACCGCCCGAGAGTATAGTAAACCGCCCGAGACTTCGACGGTCCTGTCAAAATATTTATTATTACTATTTCACTTCACTTGTTCAAAGAAATTCAAAATATGTGAGTTTGGCAATTTCTAAATCCCTAATGTTATGAGCAGAACCAATGCGCAGAAGCCGGCTGAATAATAAATGTGACATGGTGTTGGCTCAAAGAGCAGCAGATGAACAGAATATAGTTCAACTGAAAAAACTCTAAACTATAGATCTAGAGACTTTTTATTTTAAAATTGATTGAAATTTAGGGACGAACCAGTCATTCTTTTTAAAGGCATGGGGGGGGGGTAGAATCTGAAAGATGAATTACAGCAAAATATTATCATCAAAAGTTGTTCGTTTAGCAGCGAAACACATATATTTATTATACATTGATATAGCTGGTATACGGTACGCTACATTAAATATATATTGATATGACTATAGCAGTATTCGGCCCTTTAACAATGTTGTTGAACCTTGTCCTTTAATTTTGAGCAACAATCAATCCCAACAATCAATCCTGTGCAACTAGTTGCAACAACATTGCATCAACAAGGTTTAACAACATTGTTAACAATACTGCTCATGGGGTGCAACACAACACTGTTCACTCCTGATGGGAAAACCTGATAATTATTGATATATAAATCTCAGCAGATTTTTGTTCGTGTTTTAATGTTTTTTATTCTTTTCTTTTGTCCTGGTTTTCTTGCCACTTTGGGTGTTCTTGGCACAGCGAGCAATCCATCAGTGGAAATAAGCTCCCTTTTCTTTTCTGGTAATCCTTTCATAAACTTTTTGTAAATACTCTCTCTTTCTTCCTCTGTTTTTTGGCTCCAGTGCATTTCTGGGACTCTCATTTTCGCCATCCAAGGAGCAAGTTCGTAATTTCCCTGTCCATGCAAAGCGCGTCGACAGTCAATTTGCTGGAGCTTAACGATGCGGTATAAGCGATCTATCAAATCTGGTAGCTTCATAGTTTTCCAGCTGGATGACAATTTTATAACGTGGTTCATTGACTCACAATGATTATTTTTCCAGTCTATTGGAATCCATCTGTTTTCTTGATGTGGCTTGAATATAAAATGGCGAATTTTATCCGCTATTTTTTCAAAATAGTTTTTAAATGATGGCAAATGCTTGTGGAAAGTGTCACAAAGTTGAATATATTTAAGTTCGAAATTCTTGGTGTCGTTTTCATTAGTTAAACCATGTTTGCCAAAGATCAAAGAAACTACTTTATGTCGTACCTTATCATCTACACCAACAGTGTTTGTCAGGTAGCGACGAACGTTTTCTTCTAAATGTCGCGTACAGAGGACATGTACAGCGGATGGAAAACAATTTTTAATTGCTTTTGTGATTGCTGCTTCTTCGTCGGACCCAACCACAATTTTTGGTTCCAGGGAGACCTGAGTAGAAACGACGTCTTTCCTCAGTTTGCTTTGGAGATGGGAAAAAAACCGGTGATAAGTCGTATAAAGTCCGTCCCAATGTAAATATATCGCTGCCAAAAAAATCGGTGTGTTGGTTTTTCCTTTTCTCAGTAAGTTTTTATGCTGGTAAACTAATGTTGTTGCAAAACATCCGCCTAGATTAAATGTTCTGTCAATGCCAAGAACACTTGGATGGCGTGCTGTTGATGTACAAAATTGTTCAATGTCTTGTAAATTGTCTTCTAAATAGAGTACAACGCAAGGCGGCTTTCCTTTGCTTTGAATGACCTCTTGTATGAAAGGGTGTTCATGCATCTGGCTTAAAACTGTTTGCACTTCATCTGCAACGTTTTGTCTGTTTTCCAAATTAGAAGCCCCTTTTTTTTTCTTTGCATGAAATTTAGCGTTTTGCACTTGTTTTAAATCGCGTGGGGCACACTGTGAATCATCAAGCACCATTTGCTCATACACATCTCTTGGCGCAGACGCAGTGTTTGTCTCCATCATATCGGCCAATTTCCGTTTAGTTGCGCATGAGGCACGGACATATTCGTTGGTCGTTTTCTTACTATTACCGTGCGGTATAAAGCTTTCGCTGAACTTACCGATATACTCCAAAAATCAAACACTTTTGATTCATTGTTTCTCGCTAGACAATATGATCACGACAATGTTATGCGCTATTAAATTCCTAATTAACTATTTTCGTCATTAAGATAAGTTGTGTCATAATACGTCATACTATCTTATTAGGATAAGTTAGTATGACGTAACCGCGTTGACTTGGCAATGATGTCATAACTTTAGTTACGATTATTGTCTCCTTGATCTCAATGTATTCTATGATTAAACTGGTATGATTAAACTGGTATCCTGACATCTGGTATCCTGATTAAGACACTGTTTTAAATGCAGGCCGGGCAAAGTAAAACAATAAGGATCATGTTGAGTAAAACAACAGAGCCAGGAGAATTTCCATGCACAATTACAATTCAGCCCGCTAATCTGTGCTAGTTAGTGTCAAATGTTCTTGTCTAAGCATACGGGTTCTTAGAACGTTTCATATTTACTGATATTTAATTTAAAAACACAAAATAACTTCAGATTTCTGTCAGCCGCTTTTTTAAAGTCTCGGGCGGTTTTTCTATACTCTCGGGCGGTTTTTCTATACTCTCGAGCGGTCTCGGGCGGTTTTT